GGAAGTACACACAAGCCGGGGAGGCTGCAACAGTTTGCATTTGCCTGAGCCTACTGGGAAGGGAAAGATTATGCTCCCTCTTTTCCTCTCTCCACTGCTGAGTTATAGGAATCCAAATTATTTTTGCAGCTTGAACTCAGCTTGCACCACATGGAGTAAGCTGAGGATGTAGAGAGAAACTGGAAGGAGGAGTGAGAAACTGGGACATTTTTAAAGCAGCTGAAAAAGTGGAAGGACAGTAGATTAATTGGGAATGTTGCTGCCAAATTGGGAAAGTTGTAGGGTATGCAAGATTTCTCATCATTGCATTTGCTGTCTCTGACTGTGGGGAGTTGCAATTTAACAACATGGAGAACACCACACAATTTCCACCCTTGCAATGCCTTTGTCTCTTTCATTGTGCAATTCGTTGAGGGCACCCATGCACCCAAAAAGCTGTCTTACCAGTTGTAGATGATTTTCCCCTGCCTGTTTCCATGCCTGTAATCGTACAAGATGATATAGCTGTCTCCACCGTAAAACTGGCCGTAGCTTGAAGGATCTACCGGTACCTTTGTGGAACCTTCCACTCTCCAGATCTATAAGGAAAATGGCATATTTTGGAGAGTTTTCCCTAGCAGATTGTTCTGAATTTGACTATGTTTCTAATTACAGTTAGGTATTTTTGTCTGTGTAACAGGAAGATTATTGAAGCAAATATATCAAAACAATATAAAATCTAGAAATCTTCTACACATATGTTTTGTTGTTGACTGCTGATCTTTTACTACCTTGTACCCATTTGTTTCTCATCTATGTTTTGTAGACATTTGATGTTTAGTGTTCACAGATTATTTGGTTTATCATTCCATATCGTGTTTTTGCAATACATTGAGCATGTGTATGTGTGTGAACTGTGTGCCTTCAAATTGTTTCTGACTTTGTTGAGATGTGCCTTCAAGTCCTTTCCGACTTATGGTGACCCTAAGTCAAACCTATCTGGGTTTTTTTGGGGGGAGGCAAGTTTCTTCAGAGGGGGTTTCCCATTGCCATCCTCTGAGGCTGAGAGTGTGTGACTTGCCCAAGATCCACTGGAAGTTGACTAAAGAATTGTGCTGGAGGACCTACAACTGGCTAGGGATATGTTCTCTCTAGGAATCTCTAGTTCCTCCAGGGTAACTTCTGGTGGTCATAGACGACAGAGTTGCATTGGAGGACTTAGACTGAGATTCCTAAAGAGAACATATTAATAAAATCCATGAATAATCAAACCTGCAAAAGCCAAAGCCACCAATGTGGAGGACTGACTGTAGTCCAAAAAACTACTGGAGAGCACCAGGAAAGTTGGACTAAGGGGTTATTTTAAGCTCTTGCGAGGATTTCTCCTGTCATATTCACTGGGTGCAATAAAATTGCCTGGGCCAGTAACCCAAATTTCCTTTTGCAAGCTCAGTTTGAGCTCTCTTATGATGGAATCCCCCAAATTGGCACCATAAGATCCACGAACCAGCCTACCCACTCTGTGCATCAGTTACCTGTTTGTTCCCAGTACCATCATCTTCCATGCCATGCTGGGCCGCCATAGTCGGGGTGACGTGCAACGTGGCAGCATCGAAAGGCACTTTCTCGATCTTGGCAATGCTCCCGGAGATGTAAGCAACACCCAGACCTTCCGTCTGGTCCCTGTCGCGCCAGTTCTTGAAGAATTGCTTGAACAGAGGCGTTTCCCCACTTTCCGGAAGGACTTGGATCTGAAGCAAAGAAAGCATTTCAAGATGGATGAGTCTCGCTCTGTGCCAAATTAGACCAAAGTTCCATTTAAGAGGGGGAAAAAAGGGAATTTTCACACTCCCAAGACTTAAATTGATTTGCATTGAAACCTATCTGTAAGTTTGCCTTCCAGATGTGGTTGGCCTCCATGTCCCATCATCCCCAAATGGTCAGACCAGCACCCAGGGATGATGGGAGTTGTGGTCCAACAGCATTTGGAGGGCTACAGATCCCCCCCCCCACACTCTTAAGTCATGAAAGATGACCATACAACAAAATCACAATGACCATACAACAAAATACAACAAAATCCAAAATACACATTGTGGTTAAACCTTTATTTGGCTAACCAAAAGGTCACTTAACTGGGGGAAAAAAATCTATTTTGCACCTTTTGGTGGGCTGAATAAAGAGACCACCACAATGTGTATTTTGAAATTTTGTTGAAATAAAGAAAGTAGAGATGTTTATACCACTTAGACTAGCACGGCTTCCCCTCAAAAATCCTGCAAAAAGTTATCTGCATGATAGTTTGCTGGCAAATCACACACCATGGTTTGTGTATCCACATGTCGCTCTAAATCTCAGGGGGAAAAAACATTTTAAATTATATGATTTTGGCGCCATGTCTGAATACAGCCAGTTTTCCCACTTCAGGCTTTGATTTCAATTCACTCCTTTTTGACTTCTCTCTTTGCATTCCCATTTTCTCCTTTGAGTGGAAATGCGCAATTTCCGACAACACAATTCCCCCCCAGTTCTCTTTTGCAAGTTGATAACTAAAGTTTGGCACCAGGTTGCTTTTCTTTTCTCCGCACCTGTGTGTGTCGAGGATAATTCATCTTGGTGATGAATTCTGAGGCCGTTTTCAAGGCTGTCTTCCTTTCTTCAGTGTTGGCGTGTTTACCTGTGAATAACAGTGAGTGTGAAAACACATGTATTTTACATATGTGTGAATGCGGACATATATCATGAACTGAGCAAGACGTGTCTCTCCTCACCATTTCAATGTTTTCTCATGTCTGTGACCCACCAGGAATATATATAGTTGTTGTGTGCCTTCAAGTTGTTTCTGACTTATGGCAACCCTAACACAAGGTTTTCTTGGCAAGATTTGTTCAGAGGAGGTCTGCCATTGCCTTCTCCTGAGGCTGAGAGAGTGTGACTCTCCCAAGGTCACCCAGTGGGTTTCACGGTTGAGCTGGGAATTGAACCCTGGTCTCCAGTGTCATAGTCCAACACTCAAACCACTACGCCACAATGGCTTTATATACTATGGCTGCGTCCACACTGGAGAAATAATCCAGTTTGACACCCCCTTTCATTGCCATGGCTCCGTGCTATGGAATTCTGGGAACTGTAGTTTGTTGTGGCACCAGAGCTCTCTCTCTCTCTTTAACAGAGAAGGCAAAATGTCTCGCAAAACTACAAATCCCCTTGAGCCACAATGGTTAAAGTGGGGTCAAACTGGATTATTTCGGCAGTGCAGACGCAGCATTAAGACACACGAGTTTCTGTTTCTGTTAGTATTTTTCGCTTTTGTTTTGTTTTATTTTATTTCCGCAGCACGGACGTCGCTAGATGGAATAATGGCAGGACAAAGGCCAGGTCTCTGTGACAGAAAAGACAAATGGATGCATGGACCAGCGGTGGTAAGATTTACACAACCAACTAAATAAAAGAACCTAAAAGACAATTTGATATGGCAATTAATAAACGAACAAAAAAAAAACCCCAACTCTGATAACCATTTGCCAAGTTTTAATAATCTCCTCATATCTTGTCAAGAAGCAAGGCAGCCCCAATAATCTCTTTTCCACACAACTTGACCCATTTTGATGGTTTACTCTTCAGGTTTAAAGTAAATTTCGCTATTAAATGTATGCTGGATGCTCCAAAGTTGGGCTTTGAAGAATAACTGGAGAAATGGATATATTTTATTTAAAATATTATGAACAAAATAGTCCCCCTCTCTTGCCTTGGTGTTTAACGTCAAATTGGAGCAGATGTGGGCTCTGTGAGAGATGCATGTTCTTTACCAGAACTTGTGGGGTTGTCCATCATTTTAAGATAGAGAGATAGAGATATATAGATTAAAAACTGAGAATGTTCTCTCAGTTTTAGTACTGTCACATCCAAAATCCACCAAACAGTGATACCTTATGGGGACAACCAAAAGGTACAATATACATGTTGCAAGCACCAGTGGCTTCTCCTTCATCAAGATCTCAGTGTTACTGCACTTTGCTCACCCAAATTAGAAGACTATATGAAGAAATATTATTAATTACATTTGCTGGCCACTTTTCCCCATTCCTTTCCTTCCCTCCGTTAAAAACACACACAAACACAAACCCCCCCCCCCAAAAAAAAAACTTTTATCCCTCCTTCTGTCATCACAACAACCTTGCAAGGTAGTTCAGGCTGACAGAGGGTGCATCTACACTGTCATCCAGTGACTTTCCATGGCCAAGTCAGGATTCGAACCCTGGATTCCCACTCAAACCATTGCACCATGTTTTGATTTTGAGTTCCTGCATGGCAAGGGGGTTGGACTGGATGGCCCTTGTGGTCTCATCCGACTCTATGATTCTATGACCACGCTGGCTCCCATTTCAACTCTTTCCAATTTACCTTTCCAGACGAAGATTTTGCCATCGGTACCGTGGTCGAGAATGAAGCAGTCTTCGGAGTTCAGGGCTGCCTGAGAGAATGGATTTTCATCCGCCACCAGAGAAACGGCCATATTCCCTGCACCGTTGGAGACCTGTAAGTGGAACAAAAATGGATGTCCATAATTATTTATTTGTGTACCCATGGGAAGAAATGCTACCATATCCCATCCTCATCATCATCATCATGGTAGTAAGACATGCTCCTGAGGTCCACCATGCCATCATTTGGAGCAGGGCCTTTGGTATGGTGGCACCTCCTTTGTGGAATAATTAGGAAAATTTCAGACTCTTCCCTTAGAAAATTTCACTTCTTAGTGAAAAACATACTTCTTTCTCCAACAGTTCCCTGTTTGTCGTTGTTGTGTGCCTTCAAGTCGCTTCTGACTTATGGCAAACCTAGCATGGGGATTTCCTTGGCAAGTTTCTTCAGAGGTGGGTTGCCATTGCCATCCTCTGAAGCTGAGAAAGTATGACTTGCCCAAGGTAACCCAGTGGGTTTCCATGGTTGAGCCGTGATTTGAACCCTGGTCCACAGAGTTGCAGTCCAACACTCAAGCTCTTTTAGAGTTTAGTCCAGCTTAAGTGGCATAGTGGTTTGAGTTTTGGGATTACAACTCCGGAGACCAGGGTTCGATTCCCAACTCAGCCATAAAACCCACTGGGTGACCTTGGGCGAGTCACATACTCTCAGCCTCAGATTAAGGCAATGGCAAACCTTCTTTGAACAAATCTTACCAAGAAATCCCCATGAGAGGCTGGCCCTTAGGGTCGCCATAAGTCAGAAGTGACTTGAAGACACACAACACGCACACAAAACATTTATTTTAGTCCATCCTAACATTTGTTTCATGCAGCGTCTGTTAATTTGTGCATTGGGCAATCGGTGCACTGTGTATATTTTATGTCTTGTTGACAGGCACCAAGTTTCAAAAATTTGGATTTTGGAGAATATTTGTATATAGAGAGATGCATAAATAGACAAACAAACAGGAGCAGCCCTACAAGTTGGTGAGGCTTTATTGCAGCCTGCAGTTGCAGTTCTACTCCCTTCACTTATTTATTTCTTGATTCAACGGGTTTGCATCCTGCTCTGCAGAGACAGACACTCAACATACAACCAATATAATGGTTGTTTCTTTGGAAGTCTTGAAATAGCAAAATAACAAGGGAAAATTGGATAATCGGAGTTGAGCTAAGAGGTGTGGCAGCCTTTGCATCATGCACTCAGCTCAAAAAGTAATCTCTCATGAGCAAGGCTGCAGTTGCCCTCAGTTCTCTTTGGAAATAAAATTTATTGCATTTGGGAGACACCCCTCTTTGCTTTACAAAAACCTCTGTGGCCAGCTGTTTCTTGTTATATACCTTGTAAAGTTTAGCCAGTCTTCTGTTGGTTGCATCAGCTCGGACGTCATCGACTGTGCCTGCTGGCAGACTGGGCTTGGGCCCCAGGACCTGAAAGACAAATATTTATCTATCTGTCTATCTGAATCTGCATCTGTATCTGAGCGACAAGGAGGAAGGTAAGGAGAGAAAGAAATTAACGTCCCGCTGCTCCCAGTTGCTCCGAAAAGGACAGAGGTAGAGAGAGAGGAACAAGATCGCTGCAGAAAGGGAATGATCTGCAAGTTTCTAACTCCTCAACTGACCAGTCTTTATGCATATGGTTCAGAAGAATTGTTTTGAAAAACAGTGGGATAGGGAAAGGGAAGAACCAAAGACAAAACCTTAGGGAGATGAGGTTAAAAATGATGCTGTAAGCAAACTGGCAGCTTCTGTGGTTTCGTTCCAGTTTGAAAATGTTTCTAGGAGATCCAAGCTGGGGTCCCCTGAATATTGTATATTTACATTTACATATTTACATTATATACATATAATGTATATAGGCTGTGCAACTGGATGCACTGTTTCACTGTGGTCACATCCCGCACCCTATTTGCAGTTGTAAGGGTAGGAGGGATTGTGTGATTGTAAGTCTGTGTATATATGCCAATGGAAAGAGCTATTAATTCAGCAAAGGGCTGGAAGAAAACTGAGACCTAAGTAAGTTTAGCGTTGCGGCTCCAAGTCGAGACATAAAATGTTAGGCATACACACTCATTGAAATAGCAACATCCAAAATGGGTTTTAAAAAAACACCCTTCAAAATGGTGGTCACAACACATAGTTTTTTTTTTAATAAAAAGACTCCATATATTAAAACTAAAATGCCAACAACAGTTTGATCAAGGACGTATTGAGAGGTAATAAAAATACAAATTGCCATTTGATAAGCAACCCAGGGGAGAACATCTGCCAATACACAGTCAATAATAAACAGTAAAGGGGCAATTTACTCTTTTGGGAGGGTAGGAATGAAGTTGTCTGGAGAATCTAGAGAGCTCAAGGGCTATAAAAACAGCATCTAAGGGGCTACATTCAACATCACAGCCATATTTTGCCCACCTTACTCTACATCTTTGAAGAGGACAAGGTGGAACTTATGACCTGGTGGTAGGACCACATTCATTTTCGAGGAAATCCATAAACACCTACCTGCAGCATCTCTTCTCGCTCAGCACCTTCATCCTCAACATAGACCCTGGCACGGCCACTTCTCTCATTATCCCGGATCCCCTTGGCAACCTCTGTGGCTTTTAGCCTTTCAAACCTATTGGCTTGGGAGCCACACCACTGGTGAATAAACTGTTAGAAAGAGAGATTGAGAGAGAAATTGTCAAAATGGATAGTACTATGGTCGTACAAGGTGCAAGTAAGAGCTGGGTTTCATATGATGCAAAGGAAGCATCTTTAAATCAAGCAACATTCATCCCCAAGGCCTCATGATTTGTCATGGATGCATTAACTGAACACAATTATCTGACATATTTCAATAGCTCAAGACAGTTCTTCCAAAGCAGCAACATAACAAAACTTCATCCTGCAAGGGTTTGGGAAAGTTTGGCCGTATGTATGCGGTTTGCCTGAAGCTGAGAAGGCTTCAGGCTGGAATCAAATATTTTGCAGAGCCATCTGGAAAAACAGACTTCCTTTCCAGTGGGATTTATCGTACGATGGGATCAACACATGCAACAATATGGAAATTAACGAAACTATCCAACAAGGCTTGAAGATGTTTTGGCAAGACTGGATGCATGC